ATCCATGCACACATACATACATATGTGCATACAGAAAGCAGCACCTACTATGTGCCAGGCAACCTTCAACTCATTCCTTTTTTTTTTTTTTTTTTGAGACGGAGTTTTGCTCTTTTTACCCCGGCTGGAGTGCAATGGCGCAATCTTGGCTCACCGCAACCTCCGCCTCCTGGGTTCAGGCAATTCTCCTGCCTCAGCCTCCTGAGTAGCTGGGATTTCAGGCGCCCGCCACCATGCCCAACTAATTTTGTATTTTTAGTAGAGACGAGGTTTCACCATGTTAGCCAGACTGGCCTCAAACTCCTGACCTCACGTAATCCACCTGCCTTGGCCTCCCAAAGTGCTGGAATTATAGGTGTGAGCCACCACACTCGGCTCCCTGTTGATTTTAGTAACAACTAATGAACCAATACTGACACATTATTAACTGAAATCTATTCTTTATTCAGATTTCCCCCCAGCTTTTCCTAATGTCTTTTTCTGTCCTGGTATCCTATCCAGGATACATTATATTTAATTGTCATGTTTCCTAAGTCTCTTCTTGAGGGCTACAATATCTCAGTCTTGTCTTTTGTTTTTCAAATAGTGGTGGGTACTTCTTCATGTCTTTCCTTATTTTTGATGACTTTAATAGTTTTGAGGAGTACTGGTCAGGTATTTTGTCAAGTGTCCTTTTTCTTAGTCCGTGGCTGCTGCTGACACAATACTACAGCTTGAACATTGTAAACATCGGGAATTTATTTCTCGAAATTCTTGAGGCTGGGAAGTCCAGGATCAAGATTTGTGACAAGACACCCACAGGTTTGGTGTTTGGCGAAAGCTGGCTCTCTGCTTTTATGGTCTTGTTTTTTTACTGCCTCTTCAGGAGTGGATGGACAAGCACTGTGTCACACTGTGGAAGGGACTAACTATTTCTCTCAAGCCTTTCCACAAGGCTCTGCCCTCATGACTACCTATGGGCTCCACCTCTTAATCATCTTAAATTGAGAGTTAAGTTTTTCATTTTTTCTTAATTTTTTTTTTCTTTTTTTTTTTTTTAAAGACGGGGTTTCACCATGTTGGTCAGGCTGACCTTGAACTCCTGACGTCAGGTGATCCGCCCACCTCGGCCTCCAAAGTGCTTGGATTACAGGCGTGAGCCACTACGCCCAACTAAGAGTTAAGTTTTTTTTTTTTTTTTGAGACGGAGTTTCACTCGTGTTACCCAGGCTGGAGTGCAATGGCGTAATCTCGGCTCACCGCAACCTCCGCCTTCTGGGTTCAGGCAATTCTCCTGCCTCAGCCTCCTGAGCAGCTGGGATTACAGGCACGCGCCACCATGCCCAGCTAATTTTTTGTATTTTTAGTAGAGACGGGGTTTCACCATGTTGACCAGGATGGTCTCGATCTCTTGACCTCGTGATCCACCTGCCTCGGCCTCCCAAAGTGCTGGGATTACAGGCTTGAGCCACCGCGCCCGGCCTGAGAGTTAAGTTTTAATACGAATTTTGGGTGGACACAAAACATTCAAACCATAGTATCCTTCAATTGGGATTTGTCTATTTTTTTTTTTTTTTCATATTTAGAATGGGGTAAATAAGTGGGGAGAGATTCCATATTTAAACTTAATCTATAGAGTCAGTGCAGTTCAATTAAAATCCCAGTGAGTTATTTTGTAGATACCGACGAACTGATAATAAAATTTATATGGAAAGATAAAAGACCTACTATAGTCAGTACAATCCTGAAGAATAAAGTTGGAACACTCATTACCTGGTTTTAAGACTTTAGTATGAGACACAGCAGTAATCAACACAGTGTGGTAGTGCTGAAAATTAGACACACTGGCCGGGTGCGGTGAGCTTCATTTCAGCACTTTGGGAAGCTGAGGCGGGCAGATCACCTGAGGTGTCGGGAATTCAAGACCAACCTGGTTAACATGGTAAAACCCCGTGTCTACTAAAAAATACAAAAATTAGCTGGGTGTGGTGGTGGGCACCTGTAATCCCAACTACTTGGGAGGCTGAGGCAGGAGACACACTTGAACCCAGGAGGTGGAGGTTGCAGTGAACTGAAATCATGCCACTGTACTCCAGCCTGGGTTACAAGACTCTGTTTCAAAAAAGAAAATAAAAATGCTGGGCACAGTGGCTTACGCCTGTAATCCCAGCACTTTGGGAGGCTGAAGCAGGAGAATCTCTTGAACCCAAGAGGTAGAGGTTGCAGTGAGCCGAGATTGTACCACTGCACTCCAGTCTGACTCATCTCAAAAAAAAAAAAATCTGGACAAATTGATTAGTAGAGAGTGATCAAAATAGAAAGCCCAGAAATAGACTTACTGAACTACAGTTAAAGAATCTTAAAGTAGCCAACGCAATCTAATGTATTTCTCTACCTCCGATTGTAGCATGAACTAGTGGAAATTTCATTAACCAATTCAGTATGACTGTAAAGTCATATTTGAATTTTTCTGTATTTGCAGTGGGAGATTTTTTTCTCCACGAGACATTTCAGTTTCTGGACCTTTTTTTTTTTTTTAGATGGAGTCTTGCTCTGTCACCCAGGCTGGAGTGCAGTGGTGCAATCTTGGCTCAGTGCAACCTCTGCTTCCCAAGTTCAAGCGATTGTCCCGCCTCAGCCTCCCTAGTAGCTGGGACTATAGGCACGTGCCACTATGCTCGACTAAGTTTTGTATTTTTAGTAGAGATGGGGTTTCACCATGTTGGCCAGGCTGGTCTCGCACTCCTGACCTCTGGGTGATCCACCTGCCGCGCCTTTCCAAAGTGTTCGGATTACAGGTGTGAGCCACTGCGCTTGACCTGGAACTTTTAAATCACAGTGTAATACAGTGAAATTCAGTTATACTTAGATCATGTTTTGATACAGTACAAATCTCTTTATTGTTTTACTTTTGATAATTATGGCGTATCTTTAGAAGTCAAAAATAACTGTAATGTAATAAAAAGTTGGAGTTGGGGAATTAAAACAGCTGGTTAAAAAAGTAAAGTTTAACCTGGCAGGGGAGATAGCATGATGATGAAGGTGGTTTTCCCATGGTGAGGCTTCCATTGCACTCCGGATGTGCTGACCCCTGCGATTTCCCCAAATGAGGGAAACTCCACTGCATAATTTGTCATAGTAGGGGACTGCGTTCGCGCTTTCCCCTGGTTTAAAAATAAAAAGAGTAAAGTTTAGACTTTTTGTATAGTGTACGTGACTAATTTTAATTCTGCATTTTTCAGAATTTCTTGAGGTTGGCAAAAAGCAGCCTGCTCTGGATGTTCTTTATGATGTTATGAAAAGTAAGAAACATAGAACATGGCAAAAGATACACGAGCCAATTATGTTGAAATACTTGGAACTTTGCGTGGATCTTCGCAAGAGCCACTTGGCTAAGGAGGGGTTATACCAGTATAAGAACATTTGTCAACAGGTACAAACAGAACTGGGTTGTATATTTTTAATAAGTGCTTTTAGTAATCTGCAGAAGAGCTAACGTTTCAGAGTTAATATATTGTATTTCTATTAAAATTTGCCTTGAAAGCATAGTTCATTGGAAAAATAGTTTTAAATTCTGAAAAGTTTTTGTATTTTTGGATTAGGTGAACATAAAATCTCTAGAAGATGTGGTTAGGGCATATTTGAAAATGGCTGAGGAAAAAACTGAAGCTGCTAAAGAAGAATCCCAGCAGATGGTCTTAGATATAGAAGATCTGGATAATATTCAAACTCCTGAGAGGTATGTGGTTTAGACATTTAATAAATGCTTTGTTAATTTAGTGTTTTTCTTTACATGGGTCTTCATCTAATGTTAATCTTCGAAGTTTTGAATGTATGGTAACCAATAAATTTATGTATGTAATAATTAAAATTCATAGAAGTAGAAAATGATAAGCCTTAAGATAGAAGGGCAAATACTAATTTAAATGATCATAATGCAGATTGGGAATTCAGGGAGTAGATAGTGACACGTTTGCAGTATATGCAAAATTGTGGGAAGAATTTGCACTGTTTTCTGATGGAAACTGTTGGTTTTGGTTTTTAATCATATGGCAAAGTAGGAAACTGTCTAAAATTGCTTTCAACATTTTTTTCTGTCTTTGTAGTGTTCTCCTAAGTGCTGTAAGTGGTGAAGACACTCAGGATCGTACTGACAGATTACTTTTAACTCCTTGGGTTAAATTCCTGTGGGAGTCTTACAGGCAGTGTTTGGACCTTCTTAGAAACAATTCTAGAGTAGAGCGTCTTTACCATGATATTGCCCAGCAAGGTAAGATGAGAAGATCAAATCTGAGTGACATGCTGTGAAATTGACTGAGGAGTAAATTTTGCAAATGAACCCCTTTTCTGAAGTGTGCTTAAAATGAACTAGTTTTTATTCTTACTGAAATGTTGGCATTCACATGAGTATTAAATGACTGAAGCCTGTGCGGTGGCTCACGCCTGTAATCCAGGCAGGCAGATCATTTGAGGTCAGAAGTTTTGGGGCAACCTGGCCAACATGGTGAAACCCCTTCTCTACTAAAAATACAAAAAAATTAGCCGGGCATGATGGTGCATGCCTGTAATCGCAGCTACTCTGGAGGCTGAGATGGGAGGATTGCTTGAACCCAGGAGGTAGCGACTGCAGTGAGCCAAGATGGCACCGCTACACTCCAGCCTTGGTAACAGCAAGACTCTGTCTCAAAAAAAATAAAACAAACCAAAAATGACTGAATAAGAAATTAATTTGTTTTACTCTTTTTTTTTTTTTGGGACGGAGTTTC